AAGGGGAATTTTTTTCTTTTTTTAAAGTTACAATTTTTTCTTCTTTTTTTGTTTTTGATGTTATTAATAACTGCATATCTATCAATCTATATGTCCTTTGATGCCAATCTTTTAATATTTTTTATTTATTAATATTTTATTTTTTTGTTTTTAAATCACACGACCGCCCTTCAAGCCAATCAGATCGAGCTGCCGCTACTGAGAGTGAAACTGAGTATCTGCTCAGCTTTTGGAGCAAGTGAGAGCTAGTGAATATTTAGCTCTGCAGCTGGATGAGAGCATGATACTCATGGATGTAGCAAATATTGTTGTTTATATATATGAATATAAATATGTTTATTGTTAATATTGCTGTTGAATATTATCTATAAATAGCTTTCAAAAATGCTAAAAATATATGTTAATTGTTCATATTACTGTTCAAAATTATATAATTATAAAGACAGAAATTACTTTAAAAATGCTTTAAAAATATGTTTACTGTTGATATTACTGTTTAATATTTTGTTAAGAATGTTTATAACAGAAGACACAATCAATGTAATGAATGACAAACAAAAGATAAATACAAAACGTTTTTTGAAGAATAACTGATTGTTAATTATTAGTACAAATATATATTAAGAAAATGTATGTAGCTGTATGATTAATTTGTCATATTTTCCATCATAATGTACTCAAAAAAAATTACAACAGGCGGGTCCCCGCCAGAGGATAATGCTATATGGGGGTCCTTGGCATGGCAAAGTTTGGGAACCCCTGGTCTTTAATCAATGTTTGCTCTCTCACTGTACACAATGTTTTTATGTACCTATAGCACACTATGTCTATACATTCAGTAGATAGGAATATAGAGATTATTATAATTTATTCTGTACATTTTACTGTAGATACTCCTCTGAATATAGGTCTTTTATTTTTACTGAGAATATGTATATATTATTTTTAATCTATCTATCTTTTTTCACACCTCACCTCGCAGCTGAAACTGTAAATATTCCAGATATACTTAGTTATAGTAATTGCGGCTTTAGTGAAGCCTGTCTTTATTAACACTAGAACCGCCAACGGGGTCAATTTGACCCAGAGCTGTTTTTTATTGTATGTAACTTTTTTTCAATAACATATTAAAGTCTCCCAGTCCGTGACTTTTCCTGAAAGTGTGTTATGTAGCACGCTATGTTGTTAAAAATTGTCAATATGAAGTCAGATTGAAGAAATCGGCAAAAGAATTGCCATTTATACTTATTTCCGCCAAGCAGGTCATATTAACCGCACCCCTTTTCGTGCTATTGATTTTGTGTGTAAACAAACATGAAGTGTTGCTATAGCAACGCCTTTTGCCTACTGCAGTTCCTTATAGATTGAGAGATAGATTGAGAGTGAGAGAGATAGATTGATAGCGACAGTCTGTAGTGAAGGAGCGCGCTCCCGCTCACGGGAGACTGCTTGCGCTGCGCTCCTGCTCACGGGAGACTGCTTGCGCTGCGCTCCGCAGCAAACGTTAATAAACGAAACAATTTAACAAAATTGCTTGTCAAAATACCAATACCACAGGACCATTTTTCTTTTTAAAGCAATACTTTTACTTTGAAAATCAAGGCATTCTAATACTGGGTCAATTTTACCCCGGTGGCGGTTTCAGGTATAAAAAATCTCTGGCGGTTCTAGTGTTAATATTCTTGTAAGGGTAAATGTGATCTTACTGTAGGTTTTAAATTTGAAGTTGTAAATCCAACTTAGAATTGCCGTACTGAGGTGGTAAATTCTATAGCATGTTGTCTTGGTGTATTGAACCCAGACATAGTCTTAGAGTCAGGCCTAGTATTACTGCAGACAGTTAGTCAGCTGTTTGCAGGGTGTCCTTCTCTCTCTCATGCAGGTAGGGAAAGTAGGAGACATGTTAACAGATGCAGATGATGTATTCTGATGAATTTACTAAGGCCACACAATTGTTGATGGTCACTTTTATCTGGAAAAAGTTTCACTATGAAAAGTTCTCCACCAAAAGGATCATCCTCAGCATACATTTACACAATGTCATTTTCTTAAAAAATCTGGCAGTATTATACTTTTAGGGTCATGCTGTTTAGCCTGAAGGCAGTACACCTAACCTTGGTTTTACCTTGTGTCGAAAGTGTTGAAGTTGTAAAGTCACTCTTGGCTCTTACTCTGAATGTAGTCTTGTGTGTGAGCTAAAGCTTTATTTCCTGAAGCGTGAAACTTACAGCGTGCCTCTGTTGTTCAGGGAGTTGGAGCTAGGTCCGGTCTCTAGCTGGGTCTTGGATTTGGGCTGAAGCATGCTGGGAGGCTCCACACTGTTTAGAATCATAGGCAGATCTTTCTCCTGCATGTGAGTCAGAGGCAGCAATGGCTTAAACAGAGCCCCGACCTTGCACTGTGGAGAAGAAACGTATGGCAACATGCTGAAGACATTCAGAGGCAGCAGGCAGAATATTGTTGCACCCAGCTCCAACATAGGGGTGTCACGTGGGGACCTGGGCCAAAATATTCATTTATTGCAGTCATGCTTTGTATGTGGTTCATCTGTGTGTATCCATGAGTATCTGTGTGTCCCCAAACAGACATGCACCTGTAGAGTAGAGTTGCAACTTGCAAATGAGCAGCGACCAGCGGCTGATTCAGGATCACCCTCGGCTGTAGCTGCTAAGCATGCCTTGTTTCTCAAATGGGGTAATAGTTCCCCTAGGGGGACATTCGTGTACTGAAGGAGATCGCTGAGATTTTTTAAAATATTAATTACAAAAGTGCTTTATTCTTAAAATAATGATGAGCGTTTAGTCTAGTTGCGAGAGTTCAATAGTGAACTCAGAAATGTTGAGCACCCCAAGGTTTGATGATAGAAATGTAAAGTACGGGTCCCCAGCAAATAGAAACATATGTTGGAAAATTTGCAAAAAAAAATTGAATTAGCATTCAGGATAAAACATTTCAGTTTTAACCAAAAAGTGGGCATATTTGTACTCTCGGTGGGCTGATTTGTATATATTTTGGGAAGTTTGAGGGGCATCTGGATCATTTGGATTGGACAGATTGCTTATTTATTTGAAAAGGAATTGTCCACAGTAGAGATCATCATGTTTTTCATCTTCTGCTCTCTATATCCAATGGTCGCAACACTGCTCATGGTAGTCAAAATCAGTACAAATATGGCCACTTTCTGGTTAAGACAACAATTTTTGATCCTGTCAGAAATGGATTCAGCATCTTCAATAACTCCCAAAACCACTCAAAATGTTTCCAAAAAGGTCAAACCGTTTCTATTTACATAGTCCGTAATACCATTAATGCTAATTAATGCAATTTATGCTGATCGTGCAAATTGCCCAACACATGCAGATTATCATGCGGGAGTTTCTATGTGCTGGGGACCTGTACTATACATCTATAATAAAACTTTGGGGTACTCAACATTTCCAGCTTCACTATGCTGGCAACTAGACTTTAAACAGATAAGGTCATGCTTCCCACTAAATTGAAAGAGCACACTAAAAAGATGCAGCTCAAGCTAATTATTTATGTGTGTGTATGCATGCAGGCATACAGAGTGTGTATCAGTGAATGCATCATTTCCAGATCCAAGGCTTTATTGTCATATGCACAGCAGCCACAGTGTAGATATGGCAATGAACAACTGAAGTCCAAGGCTCCTCCAGCAGTGCAACATGAATATATATATAGGGCTCATGCATATAGGTTTGCATCAGTCCTTCCAATGTGTTTGCTTCAGTGCGTGTGTGTGTGTGTGTGTGTGTGTGTGTGTGTGTGTGTGTGTGTGTGTGTGTGTGTGTGTGTGTGAGTATGTAGGCATGTGTTTTTTGTACCTGTGAGCCTGAAGTGCCCTGTTGCTGCTGCAGCCGCAGCCTCCGCGCTCGGTTCTGCTTGTAGTAGTCAAAGATCATCAGGGCTGCATACACCTTCCCCACCGTCAGCTCATTGGCTGAGGAGGAGGAGAGAGGAAATTGTTGTGACTCAACAGATATGTTAGGTTTAGTTATGTTTTTACTCTAGTTTTGTGTTTTGATCTTGTCACTTCCTGTTTTTATTTTGAAAGTAATCTTTCCTCTCATTCCAGATCCCACATTTCCTGCCTTTGTGTGTTTCCCGCCCTTGAGATTGCTTGGCCCTGCCCTGATTGTTTTCACCTGTGCCCATCCCCCTCACCTATATATAGCCCTGGTGTTTCTTTGTTCCTTTGTCAGTTCGTTATGTTTCATGTCGTGAGAACCTGGGCCTTTTTTGACTCCTGATACCTACCTTGAGATTTAGACCTTTTGCCAAGTGAGTTTTTGTGTTGCTGTACAACTTAGCTTTGGCTATATAACTGCTTTCTATTTTTTGAAAGTACGATTTAGTTTTTGTTATT